CTGCCAGTGCTGATGGCACCCACTGCGCTCCCCTGGGGTCTTGTCCAGCCTGGCACCCCCAAGCAGCCCAGTTCCTGGCCCAGACTGGTGATGGGGATGCCCTGGCCCCCCAGAGGACATTCCCTGAGCATGTGTCAGAGCTCTGAGCAATCTGACAGTGACTGGCACAGAGAGAGCCTCAGGGCTCTCCAGGGGTTGTGGCTGGAAGGGGCTGAGGGGTCCAAGTTTCAGAAGAAGGGGACATGCCAGCCCCAGACCCCCCAGGAACTTGCACGGGTGAGGTTGCAGGCCCTGCCAGAGCTCTGGGTTTCTCCTCCCCTACCAGCATGAGAGCCTCAAACAACCCCATTCAGAGCGAAGCTGAACACTTCTCCTTCCCCTCCCTCAGCAGAACCGGGGCCAAGTCAATTAACATTTCTGACTGGGGAGGGAAAAAAAGAATCTATCCAAACAGCTCATTTGTCTTTTGTGTGACTCTTCCCTCCTCCCCTCCCTCCCTGCTTCAAAAGCACAGTCCCAGGAGTCTATTATGGATACCAAGGAGGGAGGTGAATTGTGAGCTAATTTTACCTCCTGCACCAATGACAGTTGCTGACGTTCAAATTAATGAAAATAAAAATTCAGCATGGGCTGAAGTCTTGGTAACTGCTGCCCCCGCGGAAGCCACTGACCCAGAGCTGCGTCTGCCCGAGCGGCTCAGCCCACCTCACCCTCACACCAGCAGGGCTAAAAATACAGCCAGCGAGGGAGGGCTGCTCATCCCTGCCGCCCCTCACATTCCTAATGGCTCCACATCCAGCTCATTCAGGCACCAAGGAAGGTTTCAACACAGCACCACAAAGCGTCTCTGAGTGGCTGTTTGTCAGACAGAGCACAAAGGCACCGTGTGCGGACAGGAATGCACCTTCCTCAGCTTGGCTCAAACTCCAATCCCAGCCTGACTGAAAAACCTGAGAACAGGCACTGCGGGATGGAGCCGCAGCAGAGGAAGGGGTTAACGTAGGGGAGGAAAACCAGAGCACAGCCTCTAAACCTGAGAGGCAGCACAAAGGCACCGGCAGAGCTCACACCCCTTCACTGCTCTCCCTGCCTCCAGGCCACAGCCATCCTCTCCCCCATTCTCTCCATCCTCTTCTCCATCTCCCCAGCTCTTCCCTCGGATGGGATGTTTAACACCGATTGAACTAGGGGCTTGGAACATTTACATCTCCCCACAGAGCTGCATAAATCTTTAAATAACCCTTCAAAAATGAAAGCACTTTCTCAAAGCCCCTTCTTCCTCTGAAGAACACAGGATTTAATGAGGTTCTCTCTTCCCCCCCCAACCCAACACCCACCCCCACCTATGAGTCACTCACACTCCTGCTCTGCTGCCCAGCAGAGCCACAGCTGAACTGATCCCTCATGTACAAGGGGGGTTTAATTTATATTTTAACATGGCATCACTGTTAGAGATATAACACTAAGCAGGTTCAAAGGGATCCTGCAGGAAGACTTGGGTGAAAAAAACTCATATTTATTCTCTTTGCAGCTGCCCAAACCTCTGCAAAACCACACAGACCCGCTGAGCTGTGCCCCTCCTCACCCTGCTCCTCCCACCAGTGTTCCCAGTGTCGAGGGGATTCCTGCCCACCACAAATACTGCACCTGCACATCCCACCCCACCTCAGTACCCCTCTCAGCCTCCCAAACAGCACAAATTACATGGAGAATTTTACAGCTCTTTCAGTAATCTCCCTATCATCTACCATGACAGCTCTGATTTGGGTTTGAATGCTGCTGTTGGCATCAGGAGGGTGTAATTGCTGGTGTCACTGCTCTGGAGGTGATCCCTCCCCTTCATTTGCCTGCTTGTGTGGGGCTGGGGAACACCTGCATGGGCCAGGCTGGGGCCACGTACCCCGAGCACAGTCGGTTCAGGGCTCTGCTCCAAAATAGCTCATCTAGCAAAACTGGCCCAAAGAATGAAGCGTGCTGAACAGCAGAGTCCAGCAGCAGCTGTTCCTGGGAGCAGGGAGGAAGCTGGCACAGGGGCACCAAGGGAGGAGCATCCTGGCTGATCAAACCGAGGACCAAAGCATCCAAAGCACCACAGCTCCACAACTGACAGTTTCCTCCTCTGCTCAAAGGATTATTCAGACCTCCAGGCCTTTCCTAAAAAGCTTTAAACAGCCAAAAAAAAGCCCCAACCACTTCTGCCCCACCCCCCACAGCTTCGCTGTCCCCTACCTGGTACTGTGAAGTCCTGAGTGTAGATGATATCATCTTCAATGTCATACAGCTCATCGTCCTCTTCCTCATTGTAGCCATGCAGATCCTCCAGGTAAGGCACCGCCGTCATGCTCCTCCACCTGTCCTTCGTCTCAGGGCTGGGAGGGATGGGCACCAGCGCTTCTGCCTGAGCGTGTTTCTTACGGAACCAGCTGCAAGGAGGTCGAGGGCACAGCAGGGTCAGCACAGGAATCCCCCACACTGGGAGGGCCCCGTCCCACCCCAGTGCTCAGAGGTGTGAGCTCCACCCACTGCCTTGGCAGGTAAGGAGGAACAAACAGGTCTGCCCAGGTGCCAGTGTACTGGAGTCTGCTGGAAGACACACTGGGGCAGGACAGGGACACAGAGCTCAGGAACATTCCCTCCATCACCAACTCCTGCCCAAACCACCTTTAAGTCAAAACACATCAGCATTGCTGCTGCAGCTTCTGAGTTTTACTGTTCAAGCAAGCAGGAAAGGAGAAACTTCTGTCCTGAAGCTGAGGCTCCTCCAGCCCCACAGACACCAGTTTGCAGGATGCCTGAGACCAGGGCAGTCTCTGCAGCAGCTTCCTCTAAAAGCCAGTTTGCCCCAAGGCCAGGGCAGAAACACTTCTGCTTCATCTTTTTATCCTCATCTGTCTCCAGGGACTCCTATCACCACCAAATCCCGTGCTGCCATCTGGCCAGGAAAGGATTTCAGCTCCAAAAGCTGTTCTTAATCAGATCAGGAATCCAACAGGCTGCTTCCCAGCAGCATCCCAGAGCCAGATGGGATGCAGCCTCTTAGGTTTCCATCGTACTCCCAGAGTGGGTTCTGACTCCAGACTGTCTCTGGGACATCTCCCAGTGCTCCATGTGGGCACCCAAAGTTCCCCAAGTGCTGCTGGAGCCTCCACACTCCCAGAGACCCTCCCAATGCAGCTGGGAGCAGAGGCTCCTCCAGACCAGGCAGCTCTAACAGACCTTTCCAACCCACACGAGCACGATGGGACACAAGTGCTTCCCAATCTGCAGTTGGCATCCAGTAACTCCTGGTCTCCAAGCAGGGAGGAGGGCCTGAGCCAGCCCGAGAGCTCTCACCAACCTGAGCCATCTGGTTTTTATCACCCCAGTTCCAAGCTCATTTCAGGAAGGAAGGCTGAAGGCACCTCCTGCGCAGAGCTGTAATTATCATTTTGTTCTAGTCTTACACTGCTTTGACAGTCGGCCTGGAAAAAAGTGGGATTCTAACAAAGCTATCAGCTAAAGTGAGGAGTGAGGAGATAAACAGAGGGAAATGCAGCTACTGGAAAAAGTCAGGCAGGATTCAAGGGAGGGGATAACTCTTATCCAGAAATTGCTTCACAATCGGCACCTTTACACCGTTTTCTCCGCAGTGCTGGAGTCTGGATTCAGGCTCTGCTCTGGGGAAGCAGCACCTCATCTGCAGGAGAAGGCTGCTGAGGAGAGGGACAGAACCTCTGCACGTCTCAGCCTGCACCTCTGGCCCCTCAAGTGGCACCACAGGAGCTAAGCAAAGCCCATTCCAGACTGGCAGGAAGGGAGCAGGACCAGTGTAACTCGATTTTGGGCACGGATGCGGAGGATGGTTTCCCTGGGTGGCTTCCTTGGTGACGTGCATGGCACACAGCACTCCTAATCGGATCATTCAACTTCCTTTCCTTGGGAGACTGTTCGTCGAGGAAGTGACTGTGAAGGCAGCAAATCCAGCCTGGGCTGATCCAGCCTGGCAGGAGCATCAGCACAGGGACAGAGGAGCTGGTTGTGCCAGGGGCACTGGGGCTCAAGGGACCCAGAGACCTCGGGAGAAGGGAATATCCAGAACAAACAAGATCAGAGCGACGGCTGGTAAAAGGAGAATTTTTAAGGGAAAAAGCCTGGAAGTCTGAAGCAACTAGTGTTTTTATTTTGCTGTGTTTCAGCTCTGCCTTGCTCTTCCCTCCTGTCCTACTTACCAGGAGAGTAAAAATAGGATTTTTATTAACAGCAGAAACCTGAATCACTGTACTCCAGTCATTATGCTTCCATCCTCTGGGAGGTGATTTCAAACACTTGCATATGCATATATGGTAATGAGGGTAGAGAGTGAGAAAAGAAATCCATTGAAGTTCTAAGAAAAATCAAAGACCTCTTGGAAGGAGCCTCGAGCAACTCTGTATGGAGTAGCGGAGTATTTCCTGGCAAGGATTTTCCAGCAGGGACAGACATTCTGCTTTCCGCACTGCTGCTGGAGGTTGTTAGTGAAGATTTGCTCCTCAGCTGAGGACCACTGGCTCCAGCAACACCCTTATCTGCCTCGGGAAGCCACTGGCCACTGACTGAGCCAGAAAACTCCTATCAGCGATGGATAAAGTGCCTCCTCACCCTGCCCAAAACGGCTGGTCACAGCTCTGCTAACACCGTGTCCTACTGCACCAGTTAGTCCCAGTTTCTGAGCCAAACTGGCACACACACAGTTACCTGGTGCTTGCAGCAGCTGCTTTAACCCTGAGGGAGAAGAAAAGACTTTGGCTATCTTGGAAGCATCTCTTGTCCAGAACATCCCTTGGAAGAGGCAGATTCCTCTCTGGTCCCTGTTTCAAAGGACTGGGAGCAGCCAAGAAACGATTCAGAGGAAGGCAGCAGTAGTAAGAGATCATTCCTTCCTCCTCCTCGAGCTGGCTGAGGCCCTGCAGGGCTCAGAACCCCCAGCAGCAGCGGCACAAGTGCTAATTGTGATCCTGCCAGGCAGGAGTGTGCCCAGATGGCTGCTGTCAGCCACGGGGAGATAAGGCAGCAAGGGTCAAGGGCTGAAGGGAAAAGAGGAATCTGGGTTGCCCAGTGCTTAATGAGCCTGTCTGGTTTGCAGTTCCCAAGCTCAGATCTTGAGTCCTCACTCTGCTCTTTTCAAGCTCTGGTCTAAGCAAGGTTAAAATAAGAGTCTGTAAGCACAGCTGCAGCTTTCCAACACTCCCTGCTCTTCCCATTCTGGGTCACAAACATTGCAGTTTGCTTGGCTTGTACATGGATGATTTTCCCTGAGAGCAGATGCCAAGCTGCAGATCCCTGCCCTGCCAGCCAGGAGCCATTCTCCACCTCCTGCCATGCCATGTAAGGGCCTCGAGCTCAGTGAAGGTCACTGTCACCACAAGCAGCAACTAACAGGGTGCCAGTTTAACTCAGTCCACTCACAACTGAACCTGGAAGGCACAGAGTGTCCTGGGGAGAGACAACACGTGCCAGCAGTGTCCCTGCAATCCCTGTTCCACTCCTGTTGTATCAAGAGATGTCCAAGCTCTTCAGTTGGGTTCAGAAAAAAAGTAGCAGTAAGAAAGCAGCAGTTCCCCAGCTGATGGCAAGGCCAAAGGTGAGAGTGATGGCTCAGACTCCTACAAGGAGTTCTGGAGACTCACATTCCTTTAGCACACCACATTACAAAACCGATTTGCAGAATGTGGGTAAAAGAAGGAAAGATCCCCTCTGTGTGCTGTCAGAGGGCAGGAAGGCTGAGCCAGGTGCCTTGGGAAGAAAGAAGGAATTGCTGCTTTGTGTCCTGCCGAGGGGAGATCACTACCTGACACCACGGAGAAGGGATGGGGAAAGCCCATGAGTGCACACACAGCAGCAGAGGCCCAGGGAAACCCTCTCCCTCCTCCCTCCAATGCAGGCATGGAAGCCCAGGAGCAGGTCAGCCCCTCCTAAGGAGCCTACACAGCACCATACAGACTTCCAGGGGGTCTGGTACTCAGGTTTGAACAGCACAGCAGCCCAGAGCCACTCTCCAGCCCCCTAGGGACAGCAGGAGCCCTGGGGAGGGCAGCAGGAGGAGACCCCAGCCCAGCAGGTTAATTTGCAGCTCTGCTAATAAAAGGTGGAAGTGCCTTCCCTCTCGTGCTATGAACTCCTGCAATCATGTCTGCGACTGAGCAAATTAAGTGTGACACTTGTGGAGAGGGAAGGGAAGATGGTTGCCTTGGAAACAAGGGACAGAGGTAGAATTCTGCATCCACTTCATCACTTCAAGTGCTGCAGCAGGTCAGTGAATTAGTTACAAAATGCAGTGTATGAGCATGAAGCCCTTCAGCAAAAGCACTGGGCAGAGAGAAGGGGGTGGATAATCCATGGGGAGCAGGCTGGAACTCCCTGGCTCTTGGCAGCTTTTCCTCCCTGCCCTATACCTCCAGCCCAGGAGCACCAAATATTCATAGAGGTGAGCTATGAGCATTGGTTTCCCATTGAATATCATCCCACACAGATCCTTCCAGGCTCTTCCCTTGCTATTCAAGGGTTGGCTCCTGGCAGTCCCTAAGCCCCGAGATGCCAGGCTGGGAGAGGTTTAACTCACTTCCCTTTACAACTCCAGGTCTGCTCTGCACAGACTGGGATGAACAGAGCAGCATCTTGCTTTGTCCTGCTCCAGGTAAAGTGCAGAGACGGGAGTTTAGCTGCAGGAGAGAGGAGGGAGGGAGGAAGGAAGGCAGCTGGGCAGGGATGAAACTCAGCAGACTCTTCCTTCAGCATTCCTCAGCCAGGGCAGCACTGCAGGGGAAAAGCATTTGGAATAGCTGACAGGAATAATGGGAGGAATGGCAGGATTACCATTGCTGGGCAGTAACACATGCTGCCTGCATTCCCTGCCTCCTGCAGCTCCCTCAGGGAGCAGTGCTCTGTGCTTCCCCAGTGCCCCTGAGCCACAGAGTTTATCCCCGATCCCACTGCAAGAGTAAGAAACCTCCCACTTTAGGGAAGGATGGATCCTGAGTGCCCAGCTCTGTGGCTGCAGGACACCTGCTCTGTGACACTTCCCTTGGGATTGCCCTTCCCACAGGACAGGGGAACGCTTCCCATCACCCTGGCACGAGCCTGGTCCAGCAGCATCAGGCTCTGGTGCCAAAGCCCTGCCCGGGGCTGCTCCTTGCTGATCTCAGAGCCCTTTGATGATCTGACTGTCCGTGTGAGCCAGTCCCCAGGAACAGCAGCTCAAAGACATAAAAGGAGAGCTCCAGCAGCTCGGAAAGGCGCTGGTGATTCTGGTTTGAGCTGGGATCTGTCCCAGCAGGGCAGCCCGGGGAACTCGCTTGATGTTTCTCTGGTCTAGTTCCTGTGCTTTAGCACATGCTTTTGGGGGAGGAGTGTGGAGAAACTCAAAATCATTAATGACTTACTCCCACACACACATGAAATCCAAGGATTCTTCTCACTAAAATGCTTTCCCAACCCTCTGACAGTACCTCAGTGGCTGCCTGCTGCCCTGACTGCTGTGTGCCAGCTACAAAGCCATCAGGGTCAGGTGAAGCACCAGGGCTAGGCTTCTATTTAAAGAAAAGGCAGGAGAACCAAGCTCTGCATTCTTTAGCACAAAGAGGAGCTGGACAGACACATCCAAGGCCCAGGGCCACAAGCTCTGCTGTACTTGATGTAATTATTAGATGCCACAGCAGGAGGAAGGAGGCAATTACTAATAGGGGAGAAAAGCCTGTTAAGAAGCCCTGGCTAAGCTCACAGAAAACTAATAAGAGCCTAAGCCCTGGAAATGCTCCTGTGCTTGCAGGTAGAGCCTTTCCTCAGCCTTTCCTCTCAGTGCTGTGGGATGAAAAGCTTCAGCACAGCAGCTGTGCCCTCGGAGCACAGAGCTCTGGCTGCCCCGTGCTCCAGTTTCTGCAGCCTTCTAACCACAGCAGGGCCCCTGGAGACCCCTCTGCGCTTCCAGCTGGGCAGTGCTGACACAGAAACTCGCTGCCGTGCGAGAGGAGTGTAAAATGGAGCACCTGGGCTGGGTTAGCAGCTCAAACAGCCAGCAGTGACCCATGAGAGCCCAGGACAGAGCTCTGCAGCGCAGGCAGGGCCGGTGCCGAGCAGCTGCAGTCCAGAGGCAGCTCTGCCTGTCCTCAGAAGCACTTCCCTTTCCAAGAGGAGATAAGCTAATGCAGCCTCCGCAGTGAAGCATCCTCATGATGCTTTTTGTTCTTGTACTTTTATCCGCCCAGGAAATCTCTGCTCAGAGCCAGCGTGTTCAAACAGAGCCTGAAGATCACCCTCAGCCGTAAGGGGCATCTCCCCCCGACTACGGCACGGATAACGGGGGAGGATGTGGGGGAGGCAGGGCTGGGATACTAAAGAGAAAGGAAAAAACCCTCCAATTGTCCTGGAATGCTTCTCCACATGCTGATCCCATATGGACCAAACACCAGGGGATGTTTCTGTCCCCAGACTGCCCAGAGCTAACACACATTACTGAGCAGTCCTAGTTCAATAACCCAGCTGCAAGGATCCCCTGTTCTGCTCCATTAGTGCTCTCTCTGGCCTCTGGAAAAGATTATCCAGGACCCTTAATTACCTAGAAGCAGCCACAGCACAAACAGACTCCCAACATACTCCTTATTCACTGGTTAGCAATTCCAGTGCTTTACCGGATGCTCTAATAGGAGGAAAAAAAGCCAAGAGGAGGTTGCCAGAGCCCCAGCAGGGCTGGATGGAGATCTAGTGACTTCCATGTGTCTGCTGTCAAAAGGAAACAAGAAGAGAGAGGAGGAGCACAGGTACACGAGCAGGAGCAGGAAGAGAAGAGCTGATAACACTCACTTGTGCTGCCTTATCTGCTGTATTGAGAACCTCTTGGCTGGGTCGTATTCAAGCATCCCTGAAAAGAAGGAAAAAAGTCCAGGTGTGATCACAGATGCTCTCAGCCGAGCCAAAGCCATGAAGCACAAAGCCGTGCCCTGCCTCCCCACCTCCCTCCCCACAGCCACATCCTGGCAGCTCAGGAGCCTTTACCTCCAGGCAGGATCTGCTGCAGTGGTCACAGGAAGCTCAGCACAAAATCCTAACCCCATTGCTCACTACCTGATCCCTCAATTTCCCAGCTGCAAAGTAGATATGGCCCTTCCCTCCCTCCCTCCCAGTGTAGGGACAGGCTGGGGAGAGCCAGCACAAGGACACAGTGAGAACACAGGAGTGGGGATACAGCTGGGAAGGGAGGGCTGGAAAGAGACATCCCAATTCAAGCAGGAAGCTGCAATGGCCTTGCAGGTGATGCTCTGCAATTCAAAGGTCATGGAAGAGATGAATCACCACAGCACATGTGATAACAAAAGCTGCTCCAGAACATCCCGTCAGCCTGTTTGTACCACATCGCGGTAAAGAAGACGACAGTAAGGAATATGGGGATAAAGAGGAGGGAGAGGACGGGACAGCGGGGAAGGACCGAAGTTATTTCCCCCCCAGAAATCAAAGCACAGTTTGCTCTGGCAATTTGTGAAGGTTTATCTGTGCTGGTGACAGCACTAAGAGCCTTAAGGCAATGGGATCACTGCTGATCCACATGACATCACATGAAGTAGGTTAAAGAAACACAGGCAGAGCTCTCCAGGTCAGGGGTCAGGTGCATCCCAGGCCCCTGGTCAGGAGCTCCAGGCCCTGGAGTTCTCAGAGCCCAACTCTGAGGAGTTCTGGATCCTTTGGACTGGGTTGTGAATGTTCCTGAGGATCAAAGCTCTACAAGCTGTTCCAAAGCTCAACCACCCTGACAGCAAAGGAGTTTTCTCACGTTCTGATGGAATTTCTCCTCAGCTAATAGGAAGAGAAATAAGTTCAGAGCAAGAAAAAAAATCCCACACCTAATTAAAGAACCTATTAATAAGATGATGACAGTAGTTTCACAGCTGAGCTGCCCAAATGAGTTGGCCTTTTTTTTTGGTAAAAGAAACAGGGCTGCAAAGAGCTCTTGCATGAAGCTTAGGGGACAAGAGTAAGGACTGGAGGATTCTTAATGTCCTCAGAACAGGGCAGTCAGGACACCATCCACTTCTCCAATTTATTTATTTAAAAACTACATTTCAAGGGGTCTTGAAACTTAAGGTATTTACCAGATGAAACCAGTACAAGCAGAGGAAGAAGTTTAAAGTAAATGATTAAAAGAGGCCCAAGAGCTGAGGGTACAAACAGCCACAGCACAAGGAGCTGCTGCTCTCAAGCCATTACAAAGGCAGAAGGAAAATAATTGACCAAAAAGCTTATTTACTTTAATGAAAAATGACCACATTTGGGGCAATGTTTGCAAGAAAATGGAAAGTCTCATCACTGGAAATGTACATTCACGCAGTCAGCTCTGTGAGTCACTCGTGGCAGCTCCGTGGCTGAAGGCCTGCACCGAGGAGAGGCTTCGTCAAGACAAAACATCATGTTCTATTCACCAGGCAAGTCATCCCCGAGCGTCTGCGCCGGAGCAGCCGCTTGCTGCCATTTAGGGTAAAGACTCCCCTGCAGTTTATCTGTGAGCAGGGATGAGACACTGTGCCAGGGAGATGCTGCAGGAGGCCCAGCCCCAGCCCCTGCTATGCCAGGAGGATTCACTGTGCCCACACAGGGGCTACCACAGAACCACTGAGGTTGGGAAAGCCCTTCAAGACCACCGAGCCCAACCTGTGACTCCTCCCCAGCTGTCAACTAGGGCAGAGCACTGCCCACCACGTCCAGTAGTTCCTTGGACATGTCCTCCCTAGACAGCCCCTTCCAACACCTGACAGCCCTTTCCACAGAGAAATTCCTCCTGAAATATAAACTCCTCTCATTGTACCAGATACTAAACTGATGAGAACAGACACAACACAGCTGTGCCCATACAGAGGGTTTCGTGCCCACTGCAGCATGTCAGCAGTCTCAACCCCCTTTCAAACCATGCCCAGTGGCAATCCAGAAACTGGAGCCCATGGGTTGGCCCTGGGCCCCTCACAGCCTCCAGCCACACACTTAGTGGTCCTGGAGTTCAGCACACAGCAGTCTCAGGTGTGGGACTGCAGAAGCAGGAGGAAACTCAACATTAAGGTTTATGAACTCAACCAGGGTTTCACTTCAGTCTCCAACTTGGATCAACATTTAAACAGTCACTATGAAGCAGTGTGAGGCCAATCTGAGTGAGACAGGACCTCCTTCCTCTGCTCAGCTGGTCACAAACTCCCTCTGCAGGCAAATCCTGAGCCTTTGATCCAGCACAGGCCTGGGGATGGACACACACACCCCTCCTGCCAGCTCCTGAGGCTCCTGCCACGATGGAATTAAAGCATCCCACTATCACCAGCACACACATCTCTCGCTGTCCTGGCAAGAAAAGGTCATGGCAGCATGGAAACAAACTGCTGAGGAACTAACCACTGTGTCCCAGGTCACAGGGCCTGGAAATCAATCCAGATGCTGGTTAATGCAGAGCTGCAGCCTCAGAGCTTCCTCTTCCAGTAAACGTTTATTAGAGCAGGAGGAAGACAGCTGACCTTGTGCATTTTGCTGGTCCAAAAGCAAAGTGCACATGAGTTGATAAGCCATGGGCAGATGCTGCCAGAAGAACCTTAAGGCTATTTATAAACTCTTCCACTCTGACACATCTCTCCTGACTGCACACACAGAACAGCACCAGCCCTTCTCCCTTCCATCCCTGAGGAGTATAAATAAAGCTTCATCCCTGATTAGGGAGGCAAAACGAGGAGCAGCATCCCAACTAATCTGTGGGATATACAGTCATGCGAGTCTCTTTACAAGCCAAATACCAGAGAAGCTTTAAGTCTGCTAAACTCTGTTCTTCTGGAAAGGGGAACAAAGATAAAAACAAGCTCAAGGGGAAGAAGGAGCAAAGAAACACTACAAAAGAAGTCAATGGAAGAAGAGCAAACCTTAAAAGGTGTGTTTGTGTTTGCCTCACAGCCTGACGGGGCCTGTGGTCAGCAAGGCCCTGGCAGGCAGAGGAAATGAGCACTTTGCAGCATGCAATTCTGCTCTCACTAACCCAGACCAAGTGCTCTGAGGGCTCCTGGAGCCTTTTACAGCTATGCAAAGGCAAGACAAAACCTCCAGTGAGACAGAGCTGAGCTGAAGGTGTCTGTGCTGCTCACAAACACATCCACCAGCCACCGACACCATCTGATCCACAGGCTTCAGCCCAGCCCTCCTGCAGGAGGGGCAGTGCTGCCTTACGCAACGGCTCCGAGAGCTGCTGGGGCTAATGCTTTTGGGAACACGTGGAAACCACTGAGTTCATCGTGGGCACAGGGCCAGCGAAGCTAAAACAGTCCGGGGGGGGCTGCAGGGTGTCTGGCACCTCCTGGGAGCCGAGGGGACAAGAGCCCCAGCAGCAGCACAGCTCGGGCTGACAGCACCACCTGCCGCCGGCGCAGCCGGACCGAGCCCTGTCCCCACATCGAGGCCCCAGCACCACGCCAGCCCTGACCCTGCGGGCACAGGGGCAGCCCAGGCTGGTGCTGTGGCTCCTCACAGCCATCCATCCACCCACACACATCCATCCTGCCAAGCACGGCATGGAACGCAGCTGGAAAATGTTCTGAATGTTCATTTTTGGGCTGGGAACAAAGCGTGACAGCCCTGTGACCCCACAGGGGACAGAGCACAGCACAGCCCTGCAGAGCTGAGACACTGCCAGCCCCTCACTCACACCTCCCCTGTGCCCTACAAGGACCAGGAAATCCAACGTGAAACAAGACAAATGTGTTACGTTTGGGGGCTGATCTCTCTCAAAGAGCTAAGAGAAGGAGAGGCTGAGCCTGTGCTGAGGAGCACAGCCACACCTGGCTGACCCACTGCAGAGGAATCACACCCCACCTGGTGCCACCAGGGCTCACCAGGCACAGCTGCTGCCCTGACTGACCACTCAGCTCTCACAGGCAGAGACTGTCCAGCACTTATAACTGCAGTAAGTCACAGGAGTGAAAAAATCTCAAACCCACAACCTTCTCCCTAGAATGTGTCACTCCTTGTCCTATCCCAGCCCTGCTGTGAAAGTGAGTACTTGTCACTCTGCTCCTAGAGCCTGCAGCTCTGAGTCTGTGGGGGGAAACTAATGAGACTGAGACAAATAAATCCAGAGCAGAGGCTGATGAGGAGGGACAGCAGAGCCTAAGTACTCAGTGTTTCACATTAGAGAAAGCTTGGGCAAGGCATCCGAATGTTCTCACTGGCAAAACCTGCACCAATGCTACAGTATCATTTGAAACTTAACCGCCTGTGGGCTTTGTCTTCAGCTGTAAAAGCATGAGAACCATGATGCAAGAACTGTGCAGGGTTAGGGAATCTCAGGCAAATACCAGCGCTGAGGATCCATCAGAGTCTTATAAGGCTGTAAGCATAACCTCCCTTTGTAACAGGATCCTGTATCTGCACAGGACACCTGGAAGGAAGTTCTGCCCTGGCAATGTGCCAGCTGAGCTTTCCCTGCATCTGTCAATGCCACCCACCTGGAGCCAGCTGGGAGACTCACCTCTCAATAAGTCTGAGAGTGGAGGACCACAATCCTCTGGAATTGTGTAGTCACCTTTGCCGATGTTTTCAAATAATTTATAGATATTATCCCCCTCGAAGGGGTACAGACCCGTGGTGATGTTGTATCTGTGAAGGCAGAAGGAGAAGCTGGATGAGAAGCAGCACGGAACAGGTACTCAGGTTTTACATGACTACATAAGCCAAAAGGAGCCAAGGGGAAACTAAAAGAAGAGTATTTGGCAGTATGTGGAATGCCTCTTTAAACCTGGCCTTCCTTCATCACAGCTCTTAATTCAAACGAGTCAAAACCACCAAGACATCTCTGACAGCCTGGGACAGCAGAAACGTAAAAATAAACACTGGAGATACTTTGTGGTTTCTGTCACTGCAGTGGCTGTGCCTCTGGGTGCTGAGCAGTGGCTGCAGAGTCACTCAGGGAGAACAAAGATCTCCTTCTGCAGAATGACAGTGCTTGGGGAAGCACAACCCACCCAAAGGAGGGACCAGCACCCCCTCCCTGCTTCCCCCAACACACACAGAGCAGGGATGACAGCAGACACCCAGGACTGAGCTCTCTGGGTTGTATTTCCAACTCCTGGGGCTGCCCAGACACTTACAGCGTGACCCCTGCAGACCAGATGTCGACTTTAAAGCCTGAAAAGGTGTCAAGGCCATTGGCAATTTCTGGGGGTTGGAATGCTGGAGACCCTTGGCTCGTCCTGCACGTGTCATCCTCCGCAAACGGATGCAATGCCTGGAGCAGGAGAGACCCAACAGCGTCAGACTTCCAAGCAAAACAAACTGACTGCTGGAAAAGTTCCACCTGGGAAACTCAAGGGGAAAACACCTCTCCTGAACATCTACAGATGCTGAGATCATGCCAGCACAGCAACCATACACCACAGTGAGGCGTCTTGCACCTCTCCTACCTCGCTAAGAGTCTCCATATAAAAAGACCAAGGTTATGCAGCTTATCCCCATTTCCCCCCACTTTTGGCCTTGTCCAAGATGGATCTCTTCCTCTCTGTGCTTCCTGAGTGGAGGTTTCATGCTGTTACCAACAGAATTGCTTTGCCAATTGCAATAAACAGTCACTCAGAGCCCTCTGTGAGTGAACAGAGCAAAAGCCTAAGAGCACAATAAATCAGTGACGACACAGAGGTGACCTCAGCTCAGAACATCCCATTGCTGCACCTCTCACATACCTCTGCTACGCCTAAATCGGATATTTTTAGTGTCCCATTGGTTGTTAGCAGGAGGTTCCCAGGTTTGATATCCTTGTGGACAATCCCTTGGCTGTGCAAGTATTCTAAGCCATCTATAAGCTGACAAAAGTACCTGCAGAGAGAAAAATCAAACACTTTTAGCCAGTAGAAAAGAGCTTTTTGCTGTGCTCATGGTTAGAGAGTCTGGGCCAGCACTGCACAGACAGCCGGGCAGCAGTTGTGCAGGAAAGTGTTTTATCTCCTAATACTCAGAAATAACATTAATGTGCCTGAATTTCACTTAGGCTGTCTGTAATCTCAGAGATCTCTTAAGCAAAATGAAAATATAACCATAAAATGATGTCGTTATCACAGCTTTGCTGCTCTGCCCTGATTTGAGCATGACAATCTTCTTGCATCTATTCCCAGAATTCTCAGGTTTCTTTCCCTGCAGAGTGAAAGGAGCAACAGCTTATCCTGGCTGCTAACTAACCAGGCTAACAGATCATGCAGGATATTGCCAATCCCTAATCCAGCCCAAGGCCTTTAATCTCTTTTCTGAGCTGAACTGTGGCTTGGGCTCCATTTAGGCAGGGCAGGAGACTCCCTCACACCCTTGGGGACAGGGCCAGGGGGGCTGTGGGGCAGCTCAGGAGGTGAAAAAACAACAGAAAATCCAACAGAAAGATGGTTTTCATTTCCAGAACCCAAAGGCAATCCCTGCCAGCACTTCAAGGGCTTTGCATAAAGCCAGGTTTGCTTTCAAGTACAGCCTGAGCAGAGCAGAACATGCTCTCCAAGTAGAGAGAGCACAGTGGTGAGAGGAACAAACTTACCCGTGAGCCTGAAACACCGGAAACCTCTTTTCTGGGACACTGTCCAGCATTTCCTGCATCCCACACACACAGTACTCCATCACCATATACGTGAAGGCAGAGTTAAGGAAGACTTAGGGTTGAACGCTCCTCAGGTGCTGTGTGAGAGCTGCAGCCCCATCTCTGGGCACAGGCTGCAGAGGCAGAGCCCGAGGTGCTGCAATCCCCACAGGGTGAGTGACCGTCCTCCAGCTCCACGGAGGGGAAAGCACCCCGAGAAAATCCTGCAGAATCTCCAGCTGCAGCTCTGAGATCACACCTGGAACAGCATGTGAACTCCACAGAACTCAACCTGGAGAGTCCACAGGCACGGCAGAAACAGAGGAATGCCTGAAGTGGCTATAAAAAGTTGGGATACCCCTGGGGGAAGAGCTGTAGGGTATTTCCCCCACAGTCCTGTTTGGTCACTGATCCACCTCTGGCTGCTCAGCCACATTAGAGAACAGACTTTCAGGCTGGAGCAGATCTACTGCAGGTGCCTCCAGGAGGGCTTAGGGCAACCTGGTCTAGTGGAAGGTATCCCTGCTCATGGGAGGGGGGAATGAGAAAAGCTTTAAGGTCCTTCCAACCCAAAGCATCCTGGGATTCTAGGATAAACGGTGCACTTCCACCAGCAACAGAACACTCAGGTAGGAACAGAATCCTTCCTTCCACAGCCCTAGTTCTCAATGCCACAGGTCTGGAAATGAGAATCCATTTATTATCACTGAGGGGAAGTTGACAACCCTCCCCTAAGCCCCAATTCTGCTTTCATCTTGCAAAGAAAGAAACCAGCACAGTGCTGTGCTCAGCTCAGGGCCATTCCCCAGGGCAGCAGCCTCAGGCACTGTCCCTGCTCAGCTGGATCTGCTCCCAAACCTGCTCCCTGCACAGCTGCACGAGGTCTGTGCTGCCACAGGCACAGAGCAGGGGCTGGGAAAGGCTCAGCATGAGCAGGATCACAGCTGAACTCCTGCTCCCACCCTGCTGGAAACCAACCTCCCCAGCTCCTGCCACTCTCACACAACCAGCATGGGGAGAAACAACCTTCGTGGGTGTGTAGGAGCAGACAGAGATAAAAATAGCAAAGTCAACTTGCTCGACTCAGAGGACGAGAGGAAAGCACTGAACCACACGGTGTTCCCTGCAGAGCAGCAGTACCAGGGAGCGAGGCCGTTTCCCAGCAGTGGTTCGGGGCTGTTATCACCTGGTACCGACACACGATGTCTCTCTCGGGCTCCTTTTCCCTAGCTCCTCCCTCCTCCCTACACCCTAATTAAACGGCATCTCCATCTAACAGTAATTGACTCGCTGTTCCCCCCCCCCGGTCTGCCGAGGCCACGAAACGAGCAGAAGTTGTCACACTGCTTTATCCTAATGATCTGGTGGCAGAGCGTTTGATCTAATTAAAGCACACAATTAAATTACACAGTTTCTGCACTGCTCTAATAACAAGACAGTATTTAGAAAACACTGTCAAAAATAAAAGCAACCATTCACAACACGTGCTACAAGGGACCAGCTCCAGAACCTCCATCCTGGTTCCAGGCAAAGAGCTCTCAGTGTGACAGTCACAGCAAGGTTAGGCAGGAAATTGCCTTGACCAGTGTCTGTGTGGAAACTCTCCCAGGCAGGCAGGAGGGCTAATACTGGGGAAAGAGATTTAATTGCAAAAAATTAAGCTTCAGAAGCATCCAAAAGGGCCTTCCCAACAGCACACCTACAGCAGGGAGCAGTGGGAATTCAAACCTGAGCGGAAAAGGATATATTTTCTGCTTCTCCTCATTGTACAACACATCTACCAACTGGATGACGTTTTTGTGCCGCAATCGCCGCAGGAGCTGGATTTCCCTGCAGGAACAGACAAGGAGAAAAGGTGTCTTTAAAAAGCTTTTTTCCAACTCCATTTCTTCCAAACTTCAGTCCAAACTTCACTCGCCTGAACAGTTCAGGGCCCTGAACTGAGTCCTGTGTTTGTGGGAATAAATAATGAACACAAGCGAGGAATCACCTTCCCTCCTGTCACCTCCTGCCAGCTGGTCGGATCCTTGTCTCCTGGGATTTTGTACCATGCCCTAAACCACATTTTAGTCTCTTTTGCATTAAACTCAGCCTGCAAAACCCCACTGTGTGCCAGCTGTGGAGAAACAGGTGGATCAGGACAGTCAGGTCAGGGTGGTTGTGTCAGTGTCTGGCAGGGCAGATCCTGCTCCTCACTTTGTTCTGCTGCTGCTCCACTCTAGGCTGTGCTGAGCTCCTCATAAACTTGTGCTAAACTCCACATAAACTCTTCTTCCCAGCTCCCTTCCCATGCCACTGGAGGTGCTTACGCACTGCAGTTGCGTTTCCACAGCTGGGACTCCGCGTTACAAGGAACCCCAAGCACAGCTTTGGAAGGGAGAGCCCCTGCCCAGCCCCAGCCCAAAGCCCCTCACAGCACAATTAGCAGCTCAATCATGAGCTGAGGCCAGCACAAAAGCTGGTTGGTGTCTCGCATCTGAGTAACAACCAGAACTGCTCCTTGGAAAGGCTACTCCGACACAGGAGTGCAAGAAGAATCCCTAAGGACCTTTTAAGGATACCTGAGCAATGTGAGTTACTTCACTCCCAAAGTTTAGGTCAGGAACTCTTCCTTTCTCATCTCTGGATCTAAAAAAGCCACTGGGAGCTAAGCAGAGACCTGGGATACCATGGGAAAGCTCCCAAGTGTTCAGCGGACATGGCAGACAGGTCTAATTATAGGAATGACCAAAGGGCTGAAGTGGATTAAATTAGCACAGGAACTGCAGCCAGGGCTAGTGTGGGGCTGAAGAGCTCCTGCAGCACCAAGGGAGAGGGCAGAGAGCTCTGACCGGGTCACTGAGAGGGGAGAGAACTCACACACAACAGCAAAATAAGCTCCCAATATTAGGAGCACATTTAAAATCCTGATCCCAACAGCTCGTTCCCTGTAATGCAGCTTGGAAGCAGAAACACTAATTCCTTCCACCTTTAATAAACTAATAAATATCTCCTATTTCTGCAGTGATTTCCCCCCCCAGGA